TTTTTGTACTTACCTTGTTGTTTTGCAGTTTTTTTATGTCTTTTGCCTTTTCGTCTGCATAAAGTTTGTTATTATTTGTGATGTTGTTGCTAATCATTTTTATTGTTGTTTGTGTAAAGTGTTTTATTGTTAGTGCTTTCATTTTTTTTTTTTTGTCATATTATTTAATTTATTATAGTTTAATCATTTTTTTTTCTTTTAATTAATTTAATTTAGGCTTATATTTATTAATATTGCTGTGGATTTTTTTTGTTTGTTTATTTTATTTAGGTGTACACACTACATGAGTGACACCTAACCTAACTTTGTATAACTATAAAAAATTTGTAATTTTTCGATTTTCAAAAATATATATACATACATATATATATATATATATATATATATATATATATATATATATATATATATATATATATATATATATATATATATATATATATATATATATATATATATACATATATATATACATATATATATATATATATATATATATATATATATATATATATATATATATATATATATATATATATATATATATATATATATATATATATATATATATATATATATATATATACATATATGTATATATATATATATCAAGCCTTTGTGTAAGAGGCGTGCGGTCGTGCAAGTTTTAATAATTAGAAAGTTTAAAAAATGCGTTAAAAAAAACATAGCAAATGGAAAATCGATTTTTAGTTTAATTGATTCCATAATAACAATTAAACTTCCACAAAATTTCCCAAGTACTTTATTGCAATATAATAAAAGGCAATCATTAAAAAAATATTCAGATAAGAGTTTAAGACATAAGTGAATACAGTAGCTATCAAAAAATCATTACTAACGATTTTATAATGGAAATATAATTTCTAATAAAGAAAATTATTTACATTATCAAACAAAATAACTTGAATAATCTTGAAATAATCGCATATGCAAACTATTCTGGGGCGCAACGTATCTTTTTTTTTTTTTAAAGAAGGTTGACTTTATTTATTGATGAACGTCTAATTTAAGAGATTTATGTCAAATAAGGGAGTTTTATTTTCAAATAATTTTTACTCTTGTTAATAAGTTATTAAATATATCAAAGATGCTTGGTAAATTTATTCAATTTAAAAACTTTTTTTTTTATCCATTTGCAAAGTGTGCGCAAATTAATGATAAATGTATAATAAAAAAAACTTTTAAGTGTTTTTAATGTGCAAACAAACATTTCTTCACTTTAAGGAAAATAAGAAAATTAAAAAACAAACAAGCATGCACAATTTTATCTATAATTAATGCATCTGCTTTAAACTTTTAATGTAACTGCTAATTACTTAAAAGAAACCAAGCTTAAACATTAGGATCGCTTTTTTTAATAAAAGAATACAATCATAATGTTTAAGCATGGTTTCTTTTAAATTAATTGCAAAAGCATTCATTTTAAGTAAAATATTGCATGCTTTTATAAGTGCATGAAAAAACTATGCTAAAACATAATTACTTTAATAGCTAAAACATAATTACTTTTTTCAATAACGTACTTAGCTACTTTAATTGTAGCGCTATTAAAAAAAATTAATTATGCTTTGGCTTCATTTTTAGAAAAGTCTCTGAAATTAATTGTTTTAAATTTTAAATGTGTTTTTTATAATAAATAAAAATTATAAAACTATAAATCACAAAATTATTTGTAAAAAAATTGCTGAAGTAATGCAACCATTTTGAAAAATCTCAATTTAATGTTTGCATAAGCAAAATTAAAGAAATCTGATATTTTTTTCTTTTAACAAACTTGTGCATGTTTATTGATTTGTCCCACCCTGAATCCTATAAACTTTTTAATAAAATTAAAAATTTGCACCACAAAATTTTATTAAATTTCATGGGACTTTTGAACAGCCTAATTTACTTACGTTTTTAAACATCATGCTGTGCTAAATATATCTATTTCTAAAAAATAAATAAAAAATCTAAAGAAAGAGTGGGGAGGGGCAGATGCCTGTTCCTCACTAGGGATCCGACCTTGTATTAGTCTATTTATTCATGGAAGGAAATGATAAAGATTGATAGAGCTGTGATAATTGTTTTTTTTAACTTTCACTTACAATTAAGTTCACTTCAAATAATAAATGTTTTAATTCTTTTATTTTATTTACTATTTATTTTGTTATTCTTTAAAATTTTTATTCTTTTAAATTTAGTTTAATAATATTTTTTTAGATTTTTTTCTCTTTTCATTTTTACTATTACAGTTTTATTATTACAATTATATTTTTTAAAAGCGCTAATTATAAAAACTTGCAAAGAGTCGTGGCCAAGTTGTCAAAACAAAGTATTATATGAGTGGTCATACAAAGCGTGCGATCACACGCCTCTTACGCAAAGGCTTGATATGTATGTGTGTATATATTTATATACATGTGTATATATTCCTTTTTTAGATGTACATGAAATACTTATTTTATTTATAGGGTTTGTCAAGATTTAGGCATAACCCGGCCATAATCCCTACCCCAGCTATGGTTTATTAATCCCAGCCCCAGCTCCAGTCAAATATCAGTCCCGGTCACTTACTACTCTGCTTACACTATTTTGTTAAAATCTACAAGGGATCAAACCACTTTAAAGATAAGTGTAAACAAAGATTAGAAAAATTAGTCAACTTTACAAATCTAATTAATCCAAAACTGGCTGAACAGACCAGATATAAAACTTTAAAAACAATAAAAGTATTAAGCAATTCAGCCATCTCTATTATGTTCTCTAATGGTTAACAATTAGAACATTCCAGAATATTAAAAAGCAAAGAAAGGATTGGCTAACCCCTAGAGATAAAAAGATCAAAACAAAAGAGTATACAAACTGTGCAGCAACTCCTTTACTGTTTTATGAAGATGGTCATGATGATAGCTTGGTGATTCCTAAAGTTCCATCACATTCTTCATCTAAATTTATCAATAAATCGCAATATATGGACAATTGAAGACATAAATGGAAGGAATTAAGTTACAAAAAAAAATTTATTTCAGTATTTTTAAAGATTAAATAAATAAACTAATTAAAATCTCACAAAAAATATCCCAAAGTACTATTTTCATGGTGGATGAAGGAATTACGTTAACTCACTACAATAAATGTAGGTGTTAAAGGACATTCATTCATTAACATTTATAAGTTTGATTGAAAAATATCTAGAACGAAATATGTTCTTTAACTTCAAGTTAATCCACTCATGTCTTCAATTACTAAAGGCTATCCTAAACTTTAATGCTAATAACATTTAATTATATAGTACTCTCACATGCTTAATACACTGGAGGGATCAGTGATTGATGAGAATAAAAACATTCAGTGTAACCAGGCTTTAAAAATCATTAACCCATAAAAAATCTTATAAAACTTAATTTGTCAAAAACTAGCAATTCTAGCAATTCATTCTGTTGAAAATCAGAAAAAATGCAATTACAGATATTTTGAACAGTTGTGAATTTACAGACCATATGCAAGCTCTTACATTTGATACAACCAGAATCAACACTGAAAAACAAAATAAATATGTGCTTTTATTGGTAAATAAAATCTTTCAGAATTCAATTTTAATGGGCTACAAGGACTATATCAAACAAATCTTACACATAATCCTATCTGAAAACAAGTTTTATCAAAAAAGTTTAAGTTTTCAATAAATAAGGATAAATATAAAGTCATTTTTATAGATATCTACTACCAAAGCTTGATGGACGCAATATCCAGCTTTACAAATTAACTGAAAGATTAAAACATTAAAATGGCAGCATTTGTAGTCAGTCTTTTATACTCTCTCATTTATCAAAGCTAAACTGGTTTCTGCTGCTCTTTGTCAGATTGGCAACTGCACAAAAAGGGGGAAGGGGGCAAAAGAGAAAGTTTATCTTGGGTGCAACTTGCAGAGGGGGCAATAGATGCCAAAGTAGGAGCTAAAAAAAAAAAAGAAAAAAGTCTTCCATACATCACAAATAGTAACCCTATTGAGCAACAAACAGTCTTTTGAATCCTTTTAGTTTTGTTTGCGAAAAATAATTTAATTTGAATGCACTGCAATTATATTTTATTAATATATACATTTTAGTAAAACTAAAAATTTAATACCTTAATTTAATTATACATCTAAGATATATAAAATATTTAATTACTTTACCATATATTCAACCACATGGTGCAAAATAATTTTCCAACAGTCAATGAAGGGTTAGGTAAAGTTTTTACCTCACCAAAATATAGCCTTGACAGAAAAGATTAATAGCTGATTTATAAAACACTTATAAAGTAAAAACTTAAAAAATTCAAAGGGAAATCATATCCACCATTAACATTAAAACTATATATATTTCCCCAGCTATCATTATCATTAAAACTTAAACTGATTAGTAATGATACTCATTATTATAACTAAATTTTTTTTCTTTTTTTTGAATACTCCAGAACTATAAAAGCTAAAAGCAACAAATAAAATTTATTTTAAAATAAATTAAATCAAGATTGCAACAAAACAACCAATCAACTAATAAATTTAATTCACTACCCTACACCCATAGTGCCCGACAGGCATTTGTTTTTAAAAGTTACGATCTAAATGTATTTTAAATGTCTTTTAAACGTCTTTTAAACATTAATGTTTAAAAGACGTTTAAAAGACGTTAAAAACACATTTAGAACGTAACTTTTAAAAACAAATGCCCGTCGGGTGGCATCATAAAATTAAAACAATTGATTAAAGTTTTAAAAACAACCATGTCTGAGAAGCTTCTAAATTACAACCAATTTACAAAAAAATTTATCAATTATATCAAAACAAAGGTTTTATCTGGTTAAGCATTTTAGAAATAAAACCTTTTTTTCAGAATCAAGCATAACATTTTCTATTAAAAAAAACGCAATTATTATTAATTTGATAGAACTTTTCTTAAATATTATTTGTCTATATAAAAAATATTGAAATATTATGCTGAATAACTTACTTGAATTAAAAAATTCATTCTTTCATAGCTTTCCCTTCCTTTTAAATTAGGCTGTTTGGGCTGGTGACCTTCACATTTTTTTGCTTGCATGCATAAAGACATACTTCTAGGCAAAGTAACTCCATGGCTTTCTTCTGGAAGTGCTTCGGTCATATCTACATAAGCATATATTTATATATACATGATTCTGGTCCACAGCTCGATAAGATTAAAAAAGATATAAATTTTTTTTTAAATATTTGCTTTCAAATCGAAATAAACATAAATAAAAAAATTGTGAATTTTCTTGATATCACATTTAACCTCTCTGAAAATTCATATAAGCTTTTCAAAAAACCAAATGATGAATTATTGCATATTAATATTAACTCAAATCATCCACCACAAATTCTAAAACAAATCCCTATTTCAATTAATAACAGGCTAAACCAAAACTCTTCTAATGAAAATATTATTCTAATGAAAATTTAATTTCTCCAAATGAATATTTGAAGATGCCCTTAAAAAAAGTGGTTTTGAAAATTTTGAACTAAAATTTGACCCTGAAAAAAAGTAGACAAAAAAGCAAAATAGAACTAGATATGTAATTTGGTTCAACCCCCCATATAGCAAAAATGTTTCCACTATCATAGGAAAAATGTTATAAAAATTGGCCGATAAGGCTGACATCTCTTGGCCGACAATCTCTTACTCAGATATGCCGACTCCAAGAATGTTCAACTTTAATCTTAAACCAACAAGGAAAATAAACACCTACAATGTACTCGGTGATAGATCTTAAATTTTCTAAATCTTTACCTTGAATTCCATGTTTAGAGGTCCATATTCTACATATTCTGTTAACAGTAGTTAACCATCTTGAATGTGAAACAGGCCCAATTTGTAATAAATGAAATTTTGGTGGTAAAATACCACTTCTAATGGCACAAACAACTTTATAACCATAAAATTGATCTGCAGACAGGTCATTTATTATTTTATCATCAAGAGAAATAAGTGGATTGCCGATTTTAATAGTTTCAAATACTGGATTTATATCTAGATCTGTAGCATGATCAAGCATGGAACCAATAACACCAGACCATTTATTGTTTGATTTCATTTGACTATCTAAATTGGTTATAAGATGTCTCAGTGGCAACTCATTTGTATGGAGTTGACATATAAGCCAAACAAGTTTTTTTCCTAATTTTATTTCTATATGTTTGATGACTCCACCCTCCCAACCGGTGCTTACATTTGTAGAGTCTCCACCAACAGCCAGTAAAGACTTGTTAATACCTTTCTCAGTAAGCCATTCAACAATTTTATTTGCTATAATCTCTGCATGTTTAACACTTTTTGTTGCTTTCTCAGGAGTAAAGTGAAACAAATATTTTCCTCCAGGTTTCATACAAACAAAGTAATGTTCTTCTTTCACTGTTACTGGAAATTTTGCATTTGAGTCATCAAGTTCAACCATTTGCTTGGTTTGATCAATTCTCCCATGCATTTCACTTCTCCACTTTTTGCTATTTTGTCAAAATCCTTACTAAGATCAGAGATAACTTTTTCTTGCGCTCTCAAAACTTTACTATGGTCAATAATTAACTTTTTATCATCAGATGTTATTAATCCTGCATCAATTAGAGTTGCTGTAGCAATTGCAGCTGTAGAATGTGCAGATACCCCATATCTATGTGAGCAAAATTTAGATAGAAATAGAATTACTTTTAAATAAAAAATCATCATTGACTAAGTTCATATATATATATATATATATATATATATATATATATATATATATATATATATATATATATATATATATATATATTTTTTTTTTTTTTTTTTTTTTTTTTTTTTCTCGATCTTTTATAAGTAATCTTTTGAACTGTTTCCTGGTTTCAATACTATCAGGTAATCCAATTTAAAACTTGCTAACAGTTCCAATTTTAATTCTTTGAAAATATATAAACTTAATGTCAATAGATGGTATTTTGTACTCTTTGATACATTTGCATTTACAATGAACTTCTTTATCACAATCATCAGAACAAATAAAATCATCACATTTTACAATTGGACATTTGCATACTAGTATATCAAAAAGTTTATGAAGTTTTTCTTTAAACTTTAATTTAAATTTTAATTTAAATTATTTGTTTAGCTCCTTTTTTTCTTGGACAAGCTATTGCTGAAGCGTTGTTCCACAAAGTCACTATTTTATCACAAATTGTTTTGTCAGTAATTAATTTAGGCGATGTAAATTCCAAATTTGCACTTAACCACTGGTGTAATAAAGCTGGAAGTATATCTTTGGCCATCTCTTTTACAGGATAATTTCTTTTTTTTTATGTCTTCGCAGCCCTCTCTTAATAAAATTGCATATCTTATAACATCTCTGTTGGTTGGTAATTCTGAAACTAGAAATTGTTTTCCGGTACCAAATGCAACATTAATTTGCGTACAAGTACTTATTCTGGTTTTAGGTGCCAAGTTATAAAATATTTAAAGGGAATTTATTATTGTTTAGTAATGAAAAAAAAAATTTTTTTTAATATTTTAAGAATGAAAACAATTGATCAAAAGTTCTTAAACTTATATTTAACAATATGCAGTTCGCAGTTGTTTACTAAATGCGGCAATGAAAAATTAATTTACTGACCATTGTTAAGATTAAAAAACTACGTTTGAGTAAATTTTTTTTTTTAATAAAAAATTATTTTACGCATTTAATACAAAAATTTTTCAAATACTTTATACATAATAAGTTAAATGATTTTTTTATAAACTTAATGTAAATTTGTTTTGTTGTTTAAAACTCTGTTTTTTTTTTACGTACAGTATTGTCCCGTAACGTCGTTATTCCGTTTAAAAGGAAATAAAAACCGTTAATACTTTCATAAAAAGGCTAATCACCTAAGTAAATATTTTTCTGATTTAAAAAATTTTAACAGATTTAGATTCTCCGTAAAATTTCGAAACTTTTATTTATACACCAAATTTTATTAAACTTTTTTTTCAAAAAAAGTCTAAAATTGACACACCCTACTCCCTCATCCTCAATGGAAAAACTACAGAAAATTGTAATTGTAAACAAAAAAGCAATTGTCCAATGAATGGAAGTTGTTAATCAAAAAATGTGTTATGTAAATGTGTTGTTACATCTAAGAATATACCTGATAAACAATATATTGGCATAACAGAGAGTGAATGGAAAAAAATGTTTTCCTAATCATAAGCAATCTTTTAAAAAGAAAAAGTATATAATAGACACCATGCTGTCAAAAAATATATGGGAGAAATAAAAATATTGATGATTTTATACTGAATTAGTCCCTCCTTAAAACAGCGCCTGCATACAACAATATTTCCAAAAAATGCATACTATGTCTACAAGAAAAATTTGAAATAATTACACATGCAAACCAAGAATGTTTATTTAACAAAAATTCGGAATTGATTTCTAAATGCAGGCACGAAAATAAGTTTCTCGTAAAAAACTATAAAAATAAGTGAGCTCAAATAATAATTACATTAAATCCCCTTTTCTAAAAATATTTTTTTAAAATAGCATAAGTAATCATTTCTAAAGAATTCTTTTTATAATAGTGTCAGCAAATTCCACAAATGTGTGAAAATTTACAGTAGTTATGACATTTGCGACTTCCTGTAATTTAATTTTTGGTATAAATTGAAGTTTTATTAATTTGATCATTCATCTCTGATGAGTCTTTATTGATGAAACAGTGTTAAATGAAAAAAATTTTTGTTAAGTGATTTTCTACTAATTTATATATATATATATATATATATATATATATATATATATATATATATATATATATATATATATATATATATATATATATATATATATATATATAGAGAGAGAGAGAGAGAGAGAGAGAGAGTCTTTATTGGCTTAGCATTGGATCAGCTGCAAATAGTCTTTATGACTATTTGCAGCTGTTCCAATTCTAAGCCAGCAATATCTTCAGATAAAAGAGCATTATATAGCAAAATATAGTACAAAATTCATATACATATATATATATATATATATATATATATATATATATATATATATATATATATATATATATATATACACAAATAGTATTGCATATTAAGGTAAGCAATCTGACGTCATACTGAAATAGCCTGCTGCTGGGGGCTTCAGTACCTACATTGACTGACAAATAGCCTGACTTGCAGTGGAGTGCTGCTACATCTACTGAGGGTTTGGGATGGGGAAGCAATCGTTTCATTCATCATTCTTCGTTTTTTCTTCTTCTTTTTCAAAAAAAAAAAACAGTATAGCTTAAGGTAAGCAGAAAAAGTGAGCAAATGCTTATCAAAACACGCTTTAGTAAGTGTGTATATATATATATATATATATATATATATATATATATATATATAAATATATATATATATATATATATATATATATATATATATATATATATATACATATATATATATATATATATATATATATATATATATATATATATATATATATATATATATATATAACCATCCAATAATCTATCTATATATGTGTTTCCATTTTTTTAATATTACTATTTTAACTAGAGGATAAAAAAAAGAAACAACTTATTTTATTTATAGGTATTTATTTTAATGCGATTTGTAGTAGTTTTAATTAGATTTTAGTACCAATATCACACTTAATAAATATATTTAGTGTTAAAAAATTAAAAACTGCACTAAAACAGTAGATCTGCCATCCAAAAACAGATATGATAAAAAACTTCTTCTCATACAAAGGCAATTTTAATAATTATTACTTTTAAGAAATACTAAATGATTGTTTTTTTGTTAAATTTATAGGTGTTAAATTCTCAACATCTTCAAGATACTCAAATTAATCCATGGATTGTTGCAGAATTTAATGATGAGATTATATGTGCAAATTGTAATCGCATGACAGGCTTTGACGAAGCATGTACTATTACTGCAGTTTTATTTTGGATTGATAAATCTATAAATGCGAGAATTTAAAACAGTAACTGATTATAAATTAGCAGCTATCCTAAGAACAATACCTGAATCTGCTCATGAATACTTTACAGAATCTGATAATCCTAAAGTACGATGTGGTTTTGTTAAATGTTTTATTTGTGTAAAAATATACTTAGAAATAGAAAGTCCATAAAGTTATAAAAAAAATTATATATTACAAGATATGATTGAAAATGAAAAAACTTGTTATCTTTATTGAGAAAAAAGCAGACAATTATCACTTAAAAAAGACCATGCATATTACTACCAAGTACAAACTTTTTGTTACTGAATATGAATTCTGCAATTAAATACTCAAAATTATAATATATATATATATATATATATATATATATATATATATATATATATATATATATATATATATATATATATATATATATATATATATATATATATATATTTATTTATTTATTTCAAAGTATTTTCAAATTGTTGTTCAAATTATTTGCTAATTAAATGTTACTATAGACGGACATAAATTAACAAAAGCACATACTGAATGAACAATCTAATGTTGTACGAGATTCTTCATTTTTAGTAAATAAAAAATTAACTAGTATTAAGTGAAAGAAAACAAGACTCTTCGTCATATTTTACAATTCCAGAAAGTCTAAAAAATTTGATATTTGGTTGTTTTTTTTTAATTAGTGAACAACCAAACACTACAAATAATGAAACCATTTTAATATTTAATTTATAACACCTATTGTTAAATGTAATTGATACTTTATAAAGTTTTATGTGGATTAAAACGCTTGTCTAAAATTCTATTTAAAAATCTGAATGATACATTTATTATATAATAGCTTTGTTTACATTTTTATCCTCTCATAATGGCATTGTTCTTTGAGTCACATGACCCACGGAAACACTCTATATATGTATATAGTAAATAAATACACAAACACACACATATTCATATAGTCTTTCACTGTTGGAGGTCACAACACTGTCCTAACATTTTTTTGCAAACTTATCCAGATTCTACCTGCAATTAGTATTTGCTAAAACCTCAACAAATAGCAATTTCACTATGACATAACATACATTTGTATAACAATATATACATACCATGTTCCAGTATTTGTTCCAGTAACTTATTCCAGTATTTTGCTCTAATTATTTGTTCCTGCACTATACTTAGCAATTTATTCAATTAATATGTTCTATTAATATGTTGTTATAATTTTTTTGAATTCAATATAATGTTTCAGTAAACTCAGAATTACAATCATTCTAATCCTTATTTAAATTTAAAAATAATATTATTTATAGTTAATAATGTATTGATTTAGACTTAAAAATAATAATATTTATAGTTAAAAATGCAATCCAAAGTGGAAGAGAAAAGGCTGGAATGGAAAGAATAAGAGGAAGTAATTCTAGTTGAAAACAGTGCAATGCCTTCTTGTGATTCTTGTGAATATTGTTATATTTAAATAAGATACACGCTTATATGCTTAACAACAAGATATAAAAGGCTAAAATCTATTTATATTATTGCTAAAAGAAAAAAGAGTTTTTACTCATGCATGCACAACATCTATTTGTCAAAATATTTTTTTAAAAATGTGATGTGTTTGCAAATAATGATTTAAATATAAGTATTACACCTGATAGTCTAAAGATAGACCATCATGCTAAGTTATAAAATTTTAATGTAAGTTCTTTATGTTCCCAAAAAAATTATAAAAAAGAAATAGTTGATGTGATCATACATAATATCAATTAATATGAGAAAGTTGATATACTGATATAAAAATAGCAAAACTTTTTTTCAATACCAATGTATTATTTAAATCTACTGAAAAATAAAAGTTTATAGACATGATTAATACATCAAGACCAGGATATAATCCACCAAACCATTAAATGCTTGGAGGAGAGTTTCTAGAAATAGTTTTTAATGAAGCTAACAATAAAATGATGTACTAATTCACCTGAGATAAGACAACAATAACAATAATGTATAATGAATGAAAAATTACTCATGAACCAATTATTGCTCACAATGCATATAATGGTCTAAATTTTTTTATCATAATTGATTCTATCTCAATTTTTAAAAAAAAATCAAATTTTGCACTTAACTAATTTGTAATATCATTAAAGATCTTAAGAAAAGATACAACAAAGTAGTATTTGATGTAATAACAAATAATATGATGAAAAAATTGAAGGTTTTTGCAAATTTATTTGTAAACCTTAAATATACTCTGCAAGCTTTAAATGAAAAAATGAAAAGAAATGAAAAGATAAAAAAAAGCTTCTGAAGTTATATAGACAATTTCAAAGATAGATACTTCAAAATAGAAATTATATTCTTTATCCAAAGTTTAATTATTGCAAAAAGTCTTTTTGAATAAATCTTTTAATTTGTTTGGTTGGTTTCATTACAATGGTTTTTCGGTAGGAAAAACATTACAATGATAGCTCCAACTAAAATATATATTTATTTTGGATTTCATAGCAGTTAGAACCTTGTTCCATAATTAACTTTTATTTTTGAATTTTGAAGCATTTCCTTGTTTAAAGGTTAAAAATTCCATGGATATTTATTCATATAGTTCCATACTTATTGCATATATAAAATATACAAACTTATGCATATATTACAATCGTTCTAATTTCTATGGTTAATTATAAAGATTTTTAAACTTTAGCATCCAAACTTTAACTTCTAAAGCATTTTCAATTTTTACTTCTCCTAAAAAGTGTAGAGTTTACAATAATTTTTTTTTCTTATTATATAATCTACACTTTTTTGAAACATTATTTCTAGAAGTAAAAGTATAATTTTACTCTCATCATAATTGCACCAAAATTCACAATGACATCACTCCAGTAGGTCATAACTTTTAGCTTGTTTTTATACAAACTATTGATAATATTTATTATTAATATAATTATTGATATAATTATTATTAATAACATAATTATTATCGTTATAAATATTGCGAAGGATATTACCAATAGCAATACTATCACTATTGTTGTTATTATTAAGTTGTTTCAATATTATTGTTATTAATAACAAAATTTTTGATGCAACTCATTTAATGAAACTTTTTATTTTATATTATTTATTTCATAATTATTTTCCATTAGAAAACGAAAAAAATGTAATAGGACGAAAAATGCCTTTAATATACCATATAAGCAAAAATTTTAGACCAATTGTCAAGTTCTTTTACACAAATATTATAAAACACGCTGTATTTGTGCAGTTTTTCATTCAAGGAGTAATCTAATGGATTAAATTCTTGACTTACAACATGTTGTTAAACATTTTAATTTCGGATTTTAAAAAATCCGAAAACTATAATGGCACCAATGACACAATAAAGTTTAAAAAACAGCCTTAAAGGCATTCATTATAATAAAACCGAAAAAATATGTTTTTTCTGAAAGAAAAAATTTTTTAGAAAATTTATTTTTTAAAGTTTGGAGGCCAATGGTCATTAATAAAAAAAAAGTGACGTCGCTGGGGTTGGTGTCCCCCAGTGTTGTAAACTTTTGGCGTCACCCTCTAGACTTTCACAAACCTCTATATCTAGAAATTTCTAAAAAAAAAAAATCCATTAGAAAAAAAAAGCACGAGCAGTTCTATGATATTTGCAATTTTTTTTTCATTTTGGTGTCACCCTTCTGTGTCAGATCGTGATGGTGCGGACTGTACCCCCCTGGTGAGGCAACTGAATAAAAATGCGCTTGCGTCACCTAGACCTTCTATCTAAATTCTTAGTTTAATTAGCAACCTATATTTAATTTAAAGACAGCTTTTTATTTAAACTCAAACAGAAGCAAAATAATTTTTAAAAAGCATAAAAAACTGCAAATGGTTTGTACTGCTTTCGAAAACATTACAGCCTCCGCCATCTTTTTGGCTGCAGATTAAATCATAATCTACCTACATATTTGTTTTGACTCTATTTTAAAACTTTGTGTTAAAATAAGAAATTAGGGTTTTAAATAGTTATAGAACAAATAAATAAATAAATATAAAAATTAATAAAAAAAAGGGTCTTAAATAGTTACATAAAAATATACTGAAAAAATATTTCTTTAAGTTGACTTTTATAAAGCTATTTAAAATATATATATGTTAATCAACTGAAATATTTGAATGAAAAATAATTCTTATAAATTATACAAATGTATATTTGTAATCTGCCTTTTCTCGATGCAAACAAAACGTTGATCTACTGTATAAAATCCAACGTTGTTCCAATGTATATGAATCAACGTCGATTCAATGTATATAATCCAACTTTAATTCATACACATTGGATTAGCGTTACGTTATAAACATTGGATCAACGTTGTTGATCCAAAGGTACATTCTAAGTTAACTCGCACTTTGAAAATGTATGCATTTGCAGTAAAATTCAATAAATACAACAGTCTTAGTTGATTTAAATAATATTTATAGTTACTTAAAAAATTTAGTATTACTTATTAGTTTCACTTTTCTAGAAACTGGGTACAGTCTTCATACTTTAATAGAAGCTTCGTAGAGTCTTCGTGTTTCAATAGAAGCTTCGTAGAGTCTTCGTGTTTTAATAGAAGTTTCGTAGAGTCTTCGTGTTTGAATAGAAGCTTCGTTGAGTCTTCGTGTTTGAATAGAAGCTTCGTAGAGTCTTCGTGTTTTAATAGAAGCTTCGTAGAGTCTTCGTGTTTTAATAGAAGTTTCGTAGAGTCTTCGTGTTTGAATAGAAGCTTCGTTGAGTCTTCGTGTTTGAATAGAAGCTTCGTAGAGTCTTCGTGTTTTAATAGAAGCTTCGTAGAGTCTTCGTGTTTTAATAGAAGTTTCGTAGAGTCTTCGTGTTTGAATAGAAGCTTCGTAGAGTCTTCGTGTTTCAATAGAAGCTTCGTAGAGTCTTCGTGTTTTAATAGAAGCTTCGTAGAGTCTTCGTGTTTTAATAGAAGCTTCGTAGAGTCTTCGTGTTTGAATAGAAGCTTCGTAGAGTCTTCGTGTTTCAATAGAAGCTTCGTAGAGTCTTCGTGTTTTAATAGAAGCTTCGTAGAGTCTTCGTGTTTGAATAGAAGCTTCGGTCAATAAAAAAATAAGTAGAGGAAAAAAATATAACAAAAAAAGCAACATTCGTAACAGTAGAAATAGTTAACTATAAAACGAAGCCAACTAAAAAAAATTTATACTAAATTTACTTAAATTAACTTTTTACAAATACATAGATTTATACCAAATGGCGCTATTTATGCAAAAAGATTTTATTTGGATTTTTCTTATATTTATTTTGAATATTATTGAAGCATTTAATAATATTCAAAATATAGTTCATGACATATACCAAAAATTAGATAATGTTCACATTGCAAAATGTTTCAGATGAATATGTATGCAGCCGAGGCGCAGTAGTTAGAGAGTTTTGCTTTAAAAGCAAGACATCCAAGATTTATTGCGTATTATGTATGGAGCTCATATTGAACCATTAGAGCATTTAACTACTTGACGTCGTTAAGGACACCTTTTACGAAATTTTTAAGAAAGAGGTTCCTTACCTCAGAACAGTGGTTCTCTATGAAAATATTACATAGAAACCACATATAGTAAACAACTAGGGCTGGTATTTGACCTGAGCCAAAGCCGTTTTTATGGCTGGGGCTGTATAAATATTGGTGCATATTGATATGATATATAAAAACAAGTCAATATGCAACAATGTTTATACAGTACCGTCGATAGAACCGGCCTTGGCTACAGTCAAATACCAGTCCCAGTTGTTTACTAACCACATAATGACTATGTTTGCTCAAAAATATGTAAAAGTAGTGGAATCATATAAATCCAGATCATATCTAAACAAAAAAGCTTCAACTCAATTTTATTAGTCATTTATTCACTACTATATAAATTATGGAGATATAGCTTGGGGAAGCATAGACGATATTTCATCAAAGTCTTTTTCCCGTGAACTTTAAAAGTTAAATAAAAGTTTGTACATTTTTGTTTAACTTTTAACAAAAGCAGTTTAAATTAATTAAAAATGGAAAGTCAGACATAAAAACTTTGGTTAAATAATCATGCAGAAAATTTTTTGATAAACATTATTAATGATATGGGTACTAATTAGTACCCATGTCATTTTTTTCTAAATATTTCATGCGGCGTTTCACAATGTTTCATTTTGGGATCATTCCTATTCTTGATTTATATAAATGACCTAAATAAAAGCCTCGAATTTATTAAGTATTATAGTTGCTGACAACACTAATTTATTCCTTTCCGAAAATGACATTTACAAACTCTTTTATACTATGAATGATGAACTTAAAAGCATATCCAAATGGTTTAAATGCAACAAACTAACTTTTAACGTTAAAAAAAACAAATTGTTTTTTTCCATCCAGTCTCAAAAAAGTTTGTTTAACCCGAAGTTTGTTGAAAGTTTTCATCGATTGTATTGAAAAAAAAAGACTTTATATAACAAAGTTCTTAGGTGTTTTTATTGATGAAAACATCACATGAAAAAATGCATATCGACTATATTAATACAAAAGTTTCTATAAATATGAGCCTAAAAACAAAATATTATCTGCATTTTCTCGTATATAACGTAAATGAGGCTAATTCTATTTTCTCCACAAATTGAATACTTTTAATTTTTTTTCCTTTTATAATTAATTAAACATATCAATTTATAAGCTTTTTAGTTGTAGCAGAAGATAATAAGAAATAAAGTAGATTTAATAATTGTTTCACTGCTATTTTTGTCAAATTAAAATGAAAAATAAGGGTGAGGCTAATTCTATTTTCTCCGCTGTATTTTTTTGTATATACCCATTTTATATAATACTTTATGTATTTACTTATTTTCAAAGATCTCTTTTGTTTAAAACCAATAAATAAATATGCACTTAGAAATAATAATTTTATACATGAACTCTTTTGTCGAAGCAAGTTTAATTCAAGTTTTGCTGAACCAAGTTTAATCAGTTTTGTATGACATATCGTGCACACTATCTTTGGAATAAAATTGTTTTGTCCAATTTCAATATGCATTTTACTTTTCCCATTTTCAAATATAAACTGAAAAATTTAATTTTAAAGTATGCTAGATTTAGCCAGATATTTTTAATTGTAACTATATATTTTGTTTTGAATTTTTATTGTAAATTACGTTTTAGTTTTTTGATTACGAGCTGGTGTAGTTTATATACACACGCTTGCTAAAAGTTCTGATGATAAGATCAGTGCGATCTTCTTTCAGAAATCTTGTTTGTTTTTGTGAAAGTATTTTATTTACTATGAAAACAAATGTAAACTAAATTTTTTTTTTTTTTCTTTTTATCTATAAAGACATTTTTTCTCTAAACCCAATTATATATAATTAAAAAAAATTGTTGTTTCTAAGAATATATTTATTCTTAGAAACAACAATTTTTTATACGAATTAATCTGTAAAACTAAGTTAAACTATGCATAATATTTCGAGCACCATATGGTTGGGCTAAGGCCGGTGTTGAAACTCGGACCTCTGGGTTCTGAGCCAAATCTTAAACCACTGCGCCAAGGCTTCATTATAATCTTTATATTGTTTTAATCACTTAGTAATTATATAGTCAAGGCAATATGTGATCAGAAATTTAGTTTTCAAATGGATGGTAGTCAAGATATGTCGGTGATTTATCAAAAGATGTTAATCTTGCGGTACGTACATAGAGAGGAAGTAAAAGAGCGATTGTTTGCTGCAAAAAAAATTATTGGTGCAACAGGTGTTGGACTATACCAACTGCTGAAATCAGATCTTGAACGCAATTGTTTAAAAATGGAAAGAATTCTAGGTGAATGGTGGAGAAGCAAAGATGTGTTGTGAATATCATGGAGTTCAACGTTACTTTGACAACGTTTCACCAAATGCTATATACATGTGGTATTATGCACACGTCCTGAATTTGTCCACAACACATATTGTGGAAAATATGCAAACTGTCAAAAGTTTAATTGGTCTCTAGCAAAGTGCAACAACTTACTTCGTCTAGTCTTGCAAATGAATAAATTTTCGAACAGATGTTCTTATTGGTCAAGGAATTGGATCTGCAAAACTTAGATGTCAAAAAAAAATTAGTAAAACATGTTAGTGGTCAAAACAGGTGGCACTTAAACAATTTTTCGGAGTCTATGATGCTCCACAACTAAAATCTTTCTATGCACTTTTACAAGTTTTTTATTGTACAAGGATATTGCCACAGAGCTAGATACTTCAACGAAAGCTACTGAAAATGAGAATGACAGAGATTTTCAGAATACTATAGCAATATTTTAAATATAGCTATAATATTTTATAC